GTGTAACATTTTCCGTAAGATTGTGCCACTCAGTCCACACTGAATGTGTTTGACGTTTCAAAATGGCTGGAATGCACCATGTGAAGCATGCTATACAATGTTGACTGAAACAATACTGAGCTCCATGTGCATGCACCCTTGATCTGATGCTTTTTCAGCAATTAGGCCAAGTATGGTTACACTGAATAAAAATGGGTTACACATCTCATTACCTTGAAACAACACAGATCGTAATCACTGACACGTTTGAATGGCAGAATGCAGACGAATTTTCAGCTGCCCTTCAAGACTAATAAGTCTTAAATTAAATGCTGATGGTTTAATCAGCTGCATCTCCAAGACTGGGAGGTGGTTGGGGGGGGGGGGGGGGGGTGTGCACTGACTAACCAAGATAGAGCTGAGCTTCCTCCGAAGTGTTTTGTCTCTGAGCTTTTATTTAATGAGCAAAACTGAGCATGTTCAGTGATGCCACCACATCAACAATCATTTAGTTAATAGAACAGCTAAGAGGCCTGAGCTACAGTCTGCATCGCTGGGCGAGTACATCAGACTAAAGCTGGAAAGCTAGTGGGACTGTGTCACGATGACTGATTCCTACATCATCTCAGTATTCTCTCAAAACATCAGCACTGCCACAACTTTCTCATTATCGCACACAAAATCAATTATCTGCTAAAGCTTTTCTGCCTCTGCCTTGCTCATCTAATTATTAACACAGCTGCCAGCCAGATATTATTGTTGACCGTTGTCAGTCACTCTCATGCAAAGTCTAAAATACACAGGCCTTCACAATCATGGTTAAAACTAACATTTGCTAGTGTTTTCCAGCAGCACAATCTGACATTAACGTATCTAAACTCTCCCCCTTTCCCTTCAGCTCCCTGCCTTGGCCCTCACATCTGCAAAAGCTAATATTTCAATAGCTTGTGTCGGGTGTGGCTTATAGCTACACACTGCTTAGAGCTGTTAAACAGGGGGATGGGAGGCGGATCACGGTATCTATACATCAGCACTAATTGCCTGAATATACTCGGCAGCACAGTCTCACGTGTAAATGCAGCCTTTGTTTGCTCCCATGACTATGCTGATGACTGAGCCTGGTTTATTGTTATGGCGTGCAGTAAATTCTGTTGAACTTTGATCTTCCATCTTGGCAACCACAGGCAAAACATGTATGCTAGTAAAACAATGTACCAGCAAAATCAACCAATACACAAGCAGGTAAAAATCAGTAAAATAGGCAGTACGGGCATCAGGTTTTCAGAAATCAGTCCAAGCATAGTGAAATGTATGCATTGTTAATATCAGCATCTTCCTAACAATGTCATTGTATTTACCAAGCTCAAACACAATGGACATAGATATTTCTTGATAGTTCAAATTTAGTTTTTTTACGTGCCATCAATAGATCATGTGGAGAGAGATGACCTAGCGATTGGGCTGTTTGCCAGACAAATGAACAACAGCAAATGCGGCCTCTTAAAATAAACATCATACCATCTTATGACAAAAACGAAACTCTCAGCTATCCCTTCCAATACCTCAGGCTCAATAAGAGCGTGGTTTCATTTCATTTAAAGTTTTTCCAACTAAATCAGAGCTAGTGAAACAAACCTTTGTGTTTGCATCGCATCTATCTGCACATCTGATTCTGCCAGTACTTGTAACATTTATCGGTCGGCTCCAGGTTATGCATATAAACTAGAAAAATGGATGCAGATGAAGTCCTTAAAGCGAGTGAAATTATGCTTATTATTTGATGTTTAGAAAATAAATCTACAGTTTTTCCTCCATTCATATTGCTATGAATGTTATTCACAATATCAATGTCACTTTAAATCAGAGTATTTGTCATTGTTGCCACACTTTTGAATAAAAAATTCTTTAGATTCAGATTTACTGGTTATGAAAATAATTGTTGCAGCCCTATCTGTGGGTCGAATATGCATAAATCTTTGGTAGTACAACGACAGAGGGTTTACCTACTGAAGCGGCATATGTCACTTGTTCATTCAGGCTCATTAAATGCTGCTTGCGCTCTGTTAAAATAAATTCTACGTTGCTTTTGGTTGGGTAGAATCTGATCAAAGCTTGACTTACTGGATTATTTTAACAAATGATGGTGCATTTCAGTAGTTGACAGAACAGTATTAACGGCTGTGACTACATACCCGATCTTGGCCTTCTGCTTGGGCTTGGAGGAGGGTACAATGCAGGCCTTCCTACAGACCTTCTCTTTGGGCCGTGCCTTGCCGTTTCCTTTGTGTTTGCGGTCATGGTGCATCTTATACTGTGAGGAAGAGCTGGGGAAGCTTTCAGGGCTCATAACTCTGGGGATGTTTTTCTCTCCGCGCTGCCGTGCCTTAGCAATAGCCTCTGATATTATTCTATTGGCCTTCTCTTGCTTGTCCAGTAGATTTGACTCCATCTGATGATGTGTCCTCCGTGGCGTCCTTTTCTCTGATGAGGAGCTGGATGAGGATGAAGACGATGAGGAAGAGGAGGAAGACGATGAGCTGCTCTTCATTGGAGGACTGAGGACCCGTACCTGGCTACCCGGACCATTAGCGTTCTTTCGAGGCTAAGGAAAGAGAGAGAAAATTAAAGAGAATGGTAACTGGTCATTTGAATTATGATCCTCTGTAGGGCAAACATGTCACACATACTACAAACATGATGTAATCTATTGTACATGAACACAAACCCAAACTCAGTTGCTATATGCGCTATATAAGGAGCTAGTGATACACAGACCCATAAAAAGTTGACCTTTACAGAGTTGAGTGATTTAAGCTGATGTACAAAGACAAGCTTTAGCAGATTCTCTTACCAAACAAAGGACAAACAAAACAAAAAGATCAAACCGAACTCAGTTTATGTAAGCACATTATAGAGAGGTCTCCAACTGGGGATATAGGGAAGGGAAGTAATACAAGCAAACCATGGTTGCTTTAACAGAGTATGCAACCAGCACATTGAGATGCCATTTCACTATACAATAAGCGGAGGGTGAATCTGATAATCAAATATGAAATGGTTTAGAGGGGGAAAAAAAACTGTTATCCACTGTAACGTAATGAAATTACAATACTTTAATGCCATGATGTGACTACTGCAACTATCACTCATTCAAAACACAACCTTCTAGAGGCTGTGTGAACCTCTCACACTTGAGAGCTTGTTCCTGTCCCCACCTCCAACGCTGGGGGTGGGGGGTGGACCAGTCTCACTCAGCATGATGCTCTCTTCAGCTCTCAGTCTCCTATGCAACTCTACCAGCAGACCTTCAGCGTGAGAAAGGCCAGTGTTTCCCCGGAATTCATTTAGATCAGGTGGAGAGGACTTGAACTCTAAAACCATGTGACATGAAAACTCTGAGCCTGATACAAATTAAATTCTTTTAGGTGGAGTAAGCTGTTCAAGGCAGGGTAAACACTGGCTCAATGTAGCAGGTTAAAGTGAACGTTGCAGACATAAATAATCCAGCTTGGCTGATGTATGATAAAAATGTGAATAATAAATGGTGTGACTGCGGTTATGCCTACATGAGCGCCTTGTGGTGGGCCTTGAGCCCAGCGGAGAGGGAACCCATAAATGGATGACCTAATCTAAAAATGTTTTGCATATGCCTACATGGCCCAGGCGCGGCCGGTTGCCTTTTTTTTTTATTTTTTTTTTTTTTTCTCTCTCCACACTGCTAGCTAAATAAAGAGAATTAGCTTGAACCTTGCCAACAAAGTGGGGGGAGGGAGTTGAATAACTAGCAATTCATTTGGAAGGAAGCGCACGCACACACACAAAAGCAGCATTATGATATTCACGTGTGCAACGCTGCTGAGGCTATTAGGAAGAAATTTACTGGATCATGCTGGAATGTTCTCATTCAAGTTAAGGTAAAAAAAAAAAAAAGAGGGGGGAGGGGTTCAAAGTAATGCTTATGAGCGGAAGAACATGAGGGCACATGAAAGAAGCAGCAAGAGGAAGAAAAAAAAATACGAAAACAGGCTTCTATCAAAGAGAAGGGGGGGGGGGGGGAGATAAAATGCACCAAAACTGAGAGCACTGCAGCTGTGTAATACATCTATAAATAACTGAAATTACAGCCTGCCAGCACTGCAGTGATTTCAATCTCTCTAGCAGCACGTAGTCCTGTGAAAACGGCGGGTACCATCATTACAGCCCATGAAAAGGTAAACTCCATTTGGGCCGGCCAGCTTTCCCTCACTCTCACGCCCTCATTTCCACATGCTCTTTTGGTGACTGACAGGTTCAACTCATGGGAGGACACACACACACACACACACACACACGCATGCGTGCGCACACACCATGCACTGTACATAAACTATAGCTTGGGCAGAGGAATTCAAAATCAGGATGGGAAAGGGATGTATGGAATGAACCGAGCGTGGCAGTGAGGAAAGAAAACACTGAAACACAAGTGTCCCATGATAAGCACAGCAAAGCAAATGAGTATGGAGGGGAGAAAAATAAAGCAGCAACGAGTTCAAGATGGCGGCAGTGCAGCATGAGCCAGTAGCAGAGGAGGTTGTTCAGTTCCTGCCAGCCCCTCCTCCTCCCCCTCGTCCCTCCTCCCTCTCAGAGCAGCTCACTTACCCTTCCTCTTGGCCTCTTCACTGTAGACATGGTGTTTTTTTCCTTCCTCTTTCCTCCCCCTCTCCAACCGGCTAACAAAAGCCTTGCCCTTTCGCCGGGTTTTTTCCCCCCTCTCTGTTGCTCGCTTACGCTCGCTCTTACAAACACACTCACTCTTTCCCTTTCAACAGTGGTTTTCTCTCACTCTTCCTTGAGCTGTGTGTCCCCCCCTCCCCTCCCTCGCTCCTCGTTTGCCGCCTCCCCTCCTCCTCCCCGGTCAGCTCTTCTCCTCAGGCAGTGCAAGAGCACTGGAGCCGTTCGTCTCCTCCTCCCCCAGCGGGCAGGGCTCAAGAGGAGCGCATGGGAGCTCTCTCTCTCTCTCCCTCACCCTCGTTTGTCTCTTCACAGGGTGATGAGGGAGCAACGCTGTGGGCGGTAGAGGAGGTGCGTGGCAGTCCAGGAAGCTCTCATTCTGCTGCTGCGTGCTGCTTCGCTGTCGTCCGGCTTCACCCAAGTCTCCTTCACTCTCTTGCTGTTCGTGTGTGTCAGAGTTGCCTTCCCCTGCCTCCTCTCTCCTCCCCACTCATTGATTCCTCTTTCCGCCTGCCTCTCGTGTTCTCCCTCTATGCCTCTCTGATCCTTCTCCCTCTTATTTCTCGTTCTTTCTTGCTCTTCTCGCTTTGCCGTTTCCCTTTTTGCGCCTCTCCTCGTCTTCTTCACCAGCCAGGGTAAGGTAAGGTTTTATTACACACAAAAAGGCTTTTGTGTTAGCTTGCTTGCTTGCTTGTTGGCTGGTTGTTTTTTCCTCCTTTTTCCCCACTTGTCTTCCTCCCCTCTCCTTGGCTGGGGTGTGTATGGCGAGCTCGCGACTCTGGCAGGCAGAGCGGCAGAAAATGAAAGCACAAAGCAGCAAAATGCATCAGCATGAATATTAGAGATGTCGTTAAAACCCTCGTTTTTCTCTCTCTCTCTCTCTCTCTCTCTCACTCTTGCTCACTCACTCTCTCTCTCTCTCTCTCTCTTTGTAAGGAAGTAGGCCAGCAGATGGTGCTAGCAGTTATTACATTAACTTTCACAACTTAACCCCCGAAGTACTGGATTTCGCCCACACCACAGATTGTCAAAATCATAGCTTTTTCTATCCCCATGTAGGTTAGTGCCAGTGCCAATTTATTTATGGAACAGAAAAGCTAGATGAACAAACTGATAAATAAATCCACAAAGGCTAAAAATGTATTCCTGATACTAACAGCATGCTAACGTTGCAGACATTAAGAAATAAACACAGCAGTGTAAAGCAGATTTTCTACTTCCTAATCATGCCAGACACATGCAGCCTACTCTGCACCGCCTGTGAGGTCAATGCCAGGTCACCCCGCAATAACTTTTGGGGGAAAAAATCCAAGAGAGGAAAACTGTGATGTGTCCAATACAGCTCTTCTTGTGCGCCAGAAGTGATCTTGGGAGGAGCGAGCCGGCCTTTCTGGGGACTCCTGACAGCATGATGCAGAGACCATGTGCACTGGCTGGCACATGGTATCAGGAGGCTGGCCTGAAGCCAGGTACAGTGCACAGCGCTACTGGGTCAGGCCTAAGTTACTGACAGATAGCCCATCAACTTTTAAATCTTTATTTACTGTGCAAAATCAGCTGAACAGGCTTCTTTCCCAGCCAACTCCCTGTTCACTATTCCTGCAGAGGCAACCAGGACTACAGCCCACATACCTGGGGCTAGGACAAGGTATGTTTTGGACCTCATGTCTTAGAAGAGTTGCACTGATGGCCAGACCTAACACACTAAACATCTATATTCAAGTACACACACACACACACACACACACACACACACACACACACACACACACACACAGAATTGAAATGCTACATGTCAATACATCTCCTGACAGATTAAGACTGACTACAAGCAATTGACTTGAAGACATTAGTAAACACCACAACACACACAGTAAGACATCACAGAGCATTTTCCACAAGATCTTAAAAAGAAAAGAAAAGTCTTAATGAGCCTATATCCTCCGGGAACTCTGTTACTTCTGTAAATATGAAATGTTTTCTGTGTGCTTCTATGACAAGAACCTGACCTACATGTGACTTTGAGGTTTTGGGGCATGGTCCCATAAAATGTAATTTTGTATATATTGTTATTGTTCCATTCTGATCCCTCTTGGCCAAAGGCAAAGCTACTTTGGCCGAGATAAGTTTACATACATACAACATAAGTTTATTCAAGTATGGTGTGAAATATGTGGGTGAGTGTGTGTGTAGTCTACAACACAATATGGCTTTAAATTTGCATGTTGAACCGATAACCTAAATAAAAGTTATATGCAATTGACCAACTGGAATAGTGTGGACAGCCTTATTCAAAATGTGTCTGTGTGAGTGTGTGTCAGTAGAGAAGGGGGAAGGTTATAAGATCAGAGAGATGACCACTGCCAACACACAGGCATGATAGTGGCATTGGAAGTTCTCTCACTGTATCTCTGGTTTGAGTAGTTTTACATTTTACAGCTTTATGTATTCTACAGAGACAGAGATGATGGGCATGCGTGCATAACAGTGGCTGTCCTTTCCAAGTGTTGCAGTAACAGGGATCAGATCCACCTGCCAAGCCAGACCTTGGACTTTGGACTTTAAAGCAGATCACATGCTCACTGGGAGGTGAGCAACAGGGTCCTCTCCAAGCTAAACAAGTCCACTGTCGGATAATACCTACCGGGGCACACCGCCTGGGGGTGAGCTTTGACTTCACACACCTCAACAGTGAAATGCATGTTAAAACTTATATAGGCACAGTCTCTACTAAACTATCACAAACAGTCAAAATAAAAACAAGAATGTGTCCTTCATTACTGCATCTGCCATAGGTGTACAGGCAATGCAACCTCTTGCACGTGCAATAGCAGAGAATGGCCTTTAAGAAACATCAAGTAACAAGTGCCATCTAAGATCCAAATAAAAATCACTGCAATAGCTAAAAGACTATTTGATGGATAAAAAACCCAAGAGGTTCAGAGACATTTAGAGAGACATTTCTTTAAAAAACACATACGTGGCTGTTAGGGATAAAAACACTTTTTCTGCACTGGAAATGTTTGTTTTTGTGTGTCACAAAGACAGACAGAGCAATAGAGAGTCAATAACATACACATGCTTCCAACTGTCACATGGCATGAAGCCACAGCTCCTTGGCAGCTAAACGGTTAATATGCAAACAAGCCTGGCAGCCCTGTATGAGGGGGAGTGGCTTCTTTTAAGGACAGATGAGGGAGGGAAGAGGAAGAGGAGGGGAGGGGAGTACAGAGGAAGGGGAGGGGAGTAGCAGAGCTTGTGAAAGGAAGCCAGTGCGTGCGTGCGTGCGTGCATAGCGGTAGGGTGGCTGTAGAGGCACAGGTGTCTGTCTCTGAACACTCCATTACTTCCTCATCAAAAGGGACTGTATTAGTGCGCCACGGCTCTCATTTCTTGTGTGCACCGCCGTGAGAGTCTCCACTAATTCACCATTAGGGAAATGAGAGCTCAGAGCTAGCACAGACTGAAAAATGACAAGATGGCTAGCACCCAGTGCTTCAGAGTCTACAGCTGCTGCTGCTCTCATACACAGAGATGAAATCCATAGCCAACTGAAATATAATGTCACCCAGTGTTAATGGCAACATTATCCATACGCTCCATTTGGGCCTTTTGATCCATTACACCCTTGCACTGCTATAGATAATGTACATGTATGATCTGGTTATTGGTTATTTCAGTTTAAACATTTTGCAATTAAGGGATAAAACACTACTCTGTTTACATAATGCTGCTTGCAGTGGTAAACAACACTACTGTAGTGTACTGTCCTGCTGTAAGCCTTAAAGTCAGTGTTGACTTTGTTTTCTTAATTTTGTGTTACATATCTTGTAATTTTGCTTTTCAGCTGATGCCATTTCAGCTCATATTCTCTAACCCACATGTCTCTCTTTTCTGCTTCTGTTTGCAAATTGCCCAAAACTCTAAGAAAGGCAACCAGAAATTGAACCGATGTCTTCAGTTTGCCATTTAGTTTGATCACAGGCCAATAATCCCATTAATATTTAATAATTTAATTTTATTCAAAAAGGGATGCAAATGAATAAATACCCTCAGACAGCGACCACTGTTTCCCACAGGTTCAGAACTGTTTTGTGGTGGTTTGGCATCCAACACACCAGTGTCAGCTGCAAACAGCATAGTTATTTGTGAGACTTGACGGAGATCCCAAAATACAGGCGTAAAGAAGACCAGTTATTACGGCAGCTTTGCTTTTTTTACACTGAGCCAACAGTGGCGGCTTAATCCTGCCTTTTTGGAAGCAAAAGACGCATGATGTGTAACACAACACTGTCAGCGTCTTGTCCTGCCGGTTCCCTCGTTTTCACAGATGTCAGTTTGGTTCTGTTACTACCTACGCTGCAGGCACAACGATACCCCCCCTCCCCCATCGGTGTTTGTATGTTTTATATAGAATGTCGTAGCAGAATAATGGTGCAGCATTCCAACCTTGAACAGGCTTTATAAAGGGCTATAAATTGCACTGTTATGTCTAGGTGTGGAAAAAAACAACAACAAAAAAAAAAAGATTAGGCCCTACTAATTAGGCCTACAGCTACAGGCCAGTTTGCAGCCACACTGGAGTGTGAGGCAGCAGCAGGGTTGATAAATGAAAGGAGACATGATGCACAGCAATGCTTCCTCAACCAATTAAATACAGCACCATGCATTAATGATCCTTTATTCAGGGCCAAGAGTGTAGCTGAGCAGAGCATGGTGCCCTCTAGAGAAGCTGCTGAAAGTCTAACAGAGCATTATTACTACAGTCTGGCCTGGTCCACTGTGACCAGACTGCCTAACCGAGCCAGATGGAAGAACTGTGCAGGGAGACACAGAATAGTACAAGCTCACAATACAAAAAGTACAATTGCACTTCAGCTGCAATGTCACTGTAAGGAAACAACTCAATTGTCTTTTTATACTTTTTAAAAATGTATTTATCATGGTCAGTTTCTTAAGGATGAGTCTGTGGCTCTAAATTCATACAGCAACAAACCTTTGAGTGATCCCCACCATCTATTGTTGGCCAATGACAGGCAGCTAAACTGCCCTGCCACCATGCCTAGTCAGCAGTTTTTGAGGAGGGTGAGCAGCTACTCCATTTACCTTCCCACACAGACTTTCAAACTGATCAAGTAACACATGCCAGTGATGCTGTTCTGTAGTTTCTCGGCTACAATATGGGAACAAATTAATTATTAATTCCAATCTAGACATGCACAATTTAAACTTCCAATTTCAGTTTGGCGAGGGGTATAACTTAAAGAGGTGGTATTATGCTTTTTGGCCTTTTCCCTCTCTTTTATTGAGTTCTCTCTCTTTTTTGTGCATGTAACAGGTTTGCAAAGTGAAAAAGCCCAAAGGGAGTTCCCATCTCCCACAGAGAGCTCTGCTCTGAACCGCTTGAAAACAGCTCGTTTGTAGTCCAGCCCTTCACTTCCTTTACTTGTGATGTCAAAATTAAAACGCGTCAAACCAAGCTAGTCTGAGCGGAGGCCCTTTGGCTCGACTCGCCTTTGTTTGGTTTTCCATTGTAGAAATGTTGCACCTGTACCTGCTTCCAGGTACTTTTTTTTTTTCCTCTCCATATCACCTCACCTCCGTCGACGACAGACTGCTGATTGGTCAGAGAGAATATACACTATTCACTGCATCATCAATGCGTGCACCAGACAGAGGCCAGCAACAGAAAGTTTTATATTTTACAGTTTTCTTACGTAATTTCATCACTAAATCCACTTCTGAGAAGTTTTGAGGTGAAAAATCAGCTGTGTAGATTTCGAATATTGACAGTTTTACGAGAAGTGATGGCGGAACAAAAATGTGCTTGAATATTTTCGGAGTTGAGGAGCTCCGCAATTGGCTGCGGGGGATGCCTGTGCCAACCCACAGGAGGAGCGTGTGAGGCCGGCCAGCCGCCCGCTCACAGAGCCCTCTGCTCCCGCCGTCACACAGACCGCTGCAGCAACAACGGCAGAGGAAAACACAGCTGGAAGGCTTTCATACCGCTTATATGTCTTTACATTCTGAGTAATGTTGAAACATTTTAACTTAAAAAGAGAAAGATGTGTGGATCACTGGTGTGTGGCGTCGCTATGACGACAAGCTACGTACCATCTCTGGGTACTACCTGCAATGGAAAACGGAGCAGGGCCGAGTAGAGTCAAGTCTATCGATTTGCGCTATGGCAGCATTTTTCGGCAAGGCAGCATAACGTTAGATCGTCAGAACACCGGCAGCAGTTCAACGTTTAGTCCTGAAAGACGATGCAACTCTGACTCTGTTTG